ATAAATATATATATAATAATAAAATTATAAGGAATATAAATATAATATAATAAATAATATAAATATAATAAATTCCTTACAACTTTTTTTTAAGAAATTTGACTTCTGTTAAAAAGATTGAAAATAATTTTTAAATCTTGAAAACTAAATAATAAAAAAATAGATTGTGATATTATGTAATATATAGTCCTATTCAAACTGTATATTTGTTTGAAATAGTTTTCACTAAATTTAACATTTATAAAGTTATAAAAATAATTTCAGTATTATCATTATTTTTTATGAATAAATTAAAACTGTATAAATAATGGGCTCACCTATATTTATTTATTGATTTTGGTGTCTCAGCGATTATTCCACTGTAATAATTACTAGAAGTGACATCATGAAATATTGCTACAACTCGTGTTCCTACTGGGATTAGAACTTTACTCTGTTCGGCTAACGCTATCAGTTTACCAGAAAGAGTTTTAATCGCTGCGTTATACTTCTTCTGAATTAATTTTACACGTACAGCCCATGGATTTGACGAGACTATACTTTGGACCTACAAAAAGATTTTTGTATCAATCTTTAATCTCATTTCCTTATCGAAATTATGAGCCGAAAAAAATATAAATAACTATTATAATATGTATAATAGATAGAAGAAAGATTGTACGAACCTTAGCTTTAATCCATGGCATAAAAGGTGTTTTCATGACATAAACAATATCATCCGCATGTGGAGATCGTTTCACAAGTGGACCAGTTGGCGGTAAATTAGGAATTCGTGTACTTTTAGTACCCGACGGTTCAATCGCTAAAACCTCCAGCTGATTTTCTTGTTGTACTGAGGAAAGCGGAACACGCATCTGAGTTACCTTCTTAGTTGCCACAAGAGCGTTTCCTATGACTCCGTCATTTATTTGCAACTCTTCGAGCATTTCAATTGGCGGTCTAAAATCGTCGTATAGATTGTTGCGCAATTTATCCATGTTGCACATCACTTCCCGTATCTCGGTATTGAGAGAATCATTTGCCGCTGTCAATGCAGAATATGATATAAAGCATGCCTTAATCTATGTAAAAGAAGAGACGAAGTTCGTACTTTTGCATACACCTCCTTTTACTTCGCAAGAGTAAAAACTCAATCTTACCACATATATTTCGCCATCTCTTGCTCAAGGTTTCACATGCAACTTTCGTATGCTGGTGTACATTATACTTTTTGAAGAGATATGACAATGTGTCATCCAATTTATCTTTAATGTCTAAAATTACATCTTCTGGAATATATTCTGCAAAAATGGAAATTAGATTCTTATTGGATGTCAATAATACTGAATACTTTGTTTTTTTTATAACTGAATTGTTCATATTTGCATTTAAAATAAAATAGATACATATTTAAAGTTTAATAAAAACAAAAGAAAATTTTATAGCAATAAAAAAATAGATTTAATATCAGTAACTTGATATACCATTACTATCTGGCTCCTTTTTTTCTCATCATCAGATTCATCACTGTCAGAAATTTCTACTTCCATTGTATGATCCGGAAAATGACAATCTAATAGTGATTTATTCTGTGTAAAGGCTGTTACCAATTGCTGTAAATGTAGCAATAATATTATTATCTAATATACATTAATCTATCACATTATATTTCATATATTCTAGCACACATTAAAGCAAATATTACCCTCTGATGTTTTAATGCAGCATCAAAACATTCTTTACATATTATACGCTTTTTTTTCTTCTTCTCAAGCGAAACGCCATAGAATGCGCATGCAAAAGAAGGTGCCAATCTCATATCAACTCCAGAACTACATTTAAAATTAACACAATTACTATTGCACACTTTAGATTTCGTTTTCTTTACAGTCTCTTCTTCATCTGACATCAATTCAATGATCTCCATGCTCTGTGCCATTTTCTTAGTAATCGCTCAATCAGTAATTTCTAAAAGTAAATTTTCTTAAT